CCCGGCGCGAAAACCCGCGACGCGCCCGCGGCGCCTCCGCCGAAGACGCGGCTCTGCGCGCCGGCGTGCGCTTGCGCTTGCGCGTGCGCGTGGCGGGTGCTGGCTTGCGCCATGATGGACGTGAACTGCCGGCTGAACTGCTGCGCCGCTGCGCGGGAGCTTGCGCCCGGCGGCGCAGCTCCGCCGATCGCTCCTCCGCGCGAAGGTGCGGGTCCGCGCGGGGCTGACCCCGAAGGTCCCGCCGCCGCCTGTGGCGCCGGCGGTGGCTGGTTAGACCTGTTGGGTTCCCAACCGCTGTTTCCGCTCGTCATGGCGGTGCTTGTGGGGTCCGCGTGTGCCTGTGGTGCGCGTGGGGTGCGCGTGCGCGTGGCGTGCTCGTGGCGTGCGCGTGGCGTGCGTGTGGTGTGCTTGCGGGAACCTTGTATGAGCGTACGTGTCTTCGAAACGGTGACGACACTGGGTATTAACGGGCACCTAACGGCTGCGACTCAAATCGTATAAACGAGCAACTGCGCGTAGATGGCGGGGAGCACTTGCGTCGTGTTCGGATGTATGTGCACGGATTTTGAGACGTCTCAAAACTCGATTCGATGTGCACGAACAGCGTGTATGCTGTGGGAGTGGTGAAAGTTTCAAAGGTGTGGTTGCGCACTCGCGTCCGTGTTCGGGTCTTTGTGCATGAACAGCCTCTTTGCTGTGCAAGTATGCAAGTGACGCGAGACCACGATACTGAGTTTTGAGTCGACTCAACACTTGTGATGGTAACGACAGCTGGATGCACCAAGAGCGTACGGATGCAAGAAGACGAGGGTGGGAACAGGAGAACGAGCGGTGCCAGCCAATGTCAGAGAAGGAACCAACGAGCGGTGCAAGACAGAAGACGAGGACGGGAACGGGAGAACGAGCCGTGTCGGCCACAACCAAGTCGTGTCGTGTCGTGTCGTGTCGTGTCGCCTACTAACTACGCGCGTGAGTACTACGATATCTACCGCTCCGACTTCGGTCAGGTTCAACTTGGAGACAGCGAAGTGCGCCGACAACAACAACAGAGACCCTGGAAAGCCTACATACAAATTTAACTCCTTTGAGGTTCTCCTCACTCGACTATGCCGACGAATTCAAGACTCGAGAATTCGAAATGAGTATGCGCTGAGCAGCTTGAAGAACTCGGCTGCTGAACAAGGGCAGCGCGGCAACAAGGAACGAGGCTTCGGGCTTGCCGTGTGCAGCGGGGCTTTTGGCGGGAAAGCAAGAGCTGGAAGCACGGAGGAACGCGTCAAGTCAAGAAAGCGCAAATACACCTAGCCCGCGGTAAATTCACCGTGTGAACGTTTTTCTTTCAGGCACCCTTTGTGCGTTTTCGGGTAATACGAAGGGCACCCTGAGACTCTGAGGCTAACAGTATAGAGCTCGGATGCATTTCAGTCTCAAAAACTGGCACTTAGTGACCCGAGATAAGGGCGAGACTGGCATTTGCAAAGTTTCTACTCTCCAGCATCCGACAAGGGAATGCATGATTCTACCCTCTCTGAATCCGAAACTACCTTCGTAAACTACCTTTACCGCGGGAAAGTACACCTGGGTGGTGAAGATATCGCCGGTGAATTTACCGCGGACTAGGTGTAATTCCCGAGGAAGCGGGTGCATAATGAAGATCCCCGATACTAGCAGATACTTATGGCAACGATATTTTTGGGTTGCGTAACAACCCTTTATATTCGGTTTGACATTTTGGGGATATCATTTGAAGAGTGTATTTACGCACTTTTTGGAGAACCCGTTTGAATGTTTTAGAACTGTGTTCAAACGGATGCCTCAAATAATGGATAAATACACCCTTGAATGAGATCCCCAAATGTAAACCAAATGCCGCAACGCACGTACGTATCATGTTGAAACCATGAACTTGCTCGACCGTCCCAACCTCGTCGATAAATATGGCGGATCGTACGGTCGAGCATAATGTTCTGGCATCAACATGAACGAATGAAACAACAAGGTATGCGGTGGAATGGATACTTCAAAATGAATGTTAAAATGCATCATGCAGCAACAGAGGTTGATGGGGTCGTTGAAACAGCGGAAACCCGCTGCCCCAAAGACGATTAACAACCTCTAATTGCATACATAACACACAGTAACACCACATTTTGAAACACAAATCCCACAAACACGAATGCAAACGCATATAAAAAATGTACAACACCACATAACGATTGTGAACGCATCGAAGAGCAACCCCACAGTGAAACAAACACAACGAACAGACATGCACACACGCGCAAACACGCACAGAGAGATACCGTAAGAAACACACAGCAGTCGTAAATAAAATTCAGAATAAATATCACCTATCCCACCTTACCCTCCCTGCAACCCTCCCTCCCTCCTTCCATCATCTCCATCCCACTCCCTCATCTCCCTTCTCAGCTCACGCACGCGCCCTGCACAAAGCAAAATCAGTGAAGTCAACACACACACGCCCAGGCAAAAACAGGGAAGTCAACACACACAAGCCCTGCACAAGAAAGCAAAACAAAGAAAGCAAAACACACCTTGCACAAAAATCAGTGCATGTTCATACACTGTGGACAAGAAAGCAAAAATAGGATAGCGCAACACACGTGCTCTTACAGGAGGCCAAGCAAGAAGTACAAATCACCCTCCCTCACATGCATTGCAGAAGGCGTCAACGTATAGCAGAAAGGCGCCAGTGCACTGCAGTGCACGAGTGCGCTGCGAGGCGCCGATGAGCTAGAGCTTACGTCTTAGCATGCTCATGCGCTCTCTCACACACTCTCTCATACACTCTCTCACGCACTCTCTCATACGCTCTCTCACGCGCTCCCTCACGCGCTCTCTCACGCGCTCTCTCACGCGCACTCTCACGCGCTCTCTTGCGCGCTCTTTGGCACGCTCTCTCGCGCGCTCTCTCACGCGCTCTCTCACGCGCACCCTCACTCGCTCTCTCTCGCTCTCTCATGCACTCTCTCACGCGCACCCGCACTCGCTCTCTCGCGCACTCATGCACTCTCTCATGCGCACCCTCACTCGCTCTCTCGCGCTCTCTCATGCGCTCTCACGCGCACTCTCACGCGCTCTCTCACACGCTCTCACGCTCTCTATCAAGGCGCACTCTTAGGGGCACTCTCAAGCGCTCTCTCTCGCGCTCTTTTTCCCACACACTCACGCGCATTCTCTCTCTTACGTCCTTTCTCTCACGCACTCTCACGCACATTCTCTCTTTCAAACGCTCTCTCACGCGCACCCTCACACGCTCCCTCACACGCTCTCTCGCGCGCTCTCACACGCGCTCTCTCACGCGCTCTCATACACGCTCTCTCACCCGCTCTCTCATGCGCACTCTCACGCGCTCTCTCACGCCCCCTCACGCGCTCCCTCACGCACTCTCAGGCACACTCTCACGCACTCCCTCTCGCACTCCCTCTTGCGCACTCTCACCACATTCTCTCTCTCGCGGACTATCACACGCATTCTCTCTCTCTCTCTCTCTCGCTCTCACGCGCACTCACACCCGCTCTCTCACACGCTCTCTCATGCGATCTCTCTCACGCGCTCGCTCACGCGCTCTCTCATGCTCACTCTCACGCGCACTTTCACGCACTCTCTCATGTGCTCTCTCACGCGCTCTCACGCGCCCTCTCGTGCTCTCTCACGCACTCTCTCACGCTCTCTCTCAAGGCGCACTCTCAGGCACACTCTCACGTTCTCTCTCTCACGCGCTCTCTCACGCACTATCACACGCATTCACTCTCTTACGCTCTCACGCGCACTCACACGCGCTCTCTCATGCGCTCTCTCACGCGCTCCCTCACGCGCTCTCTCACGTGCGCTTTCACGCGCTCTCTCATGTGCTCTCTCACACGCTCTCACGCGCTCTCTCACGCGCACGCGCTCTCCCTCGCGCTCTCCCTCGCGCTCCATCTCTTTCTTCTTCAAATGAAAGTGCAATGCAAGTGGAGACCAATCGACACATTGGAGAAACAAAACGAAACAAAACAAAACAAAACAGGACGGAAATTTCGGAAGGGGGGAGGGAGGACGGAAGGACCGGGAACGCACCTGATAACCACGGTGCCTGAGAAAACAACCCGCGCTCGCGCACCAACCCGCGCTTGCGCTCGTGCACCTGTTGTCAAAACATATGTATATCATTGTCTAGGCTATATTGGGGATAGCCTTAGGGGGTACAGAAATTTGCTCGACACTCTAGTCTTGTACCCAAGCCTTGACCTAATCCCACTCATTCTTGCCTTACTATCTTAACATGGTAACTAGAGCAGGAGGTCTCTAGGACCTAAAACACAAAAATCAGGCCCACCTAACTGCCTGCCCTACCTACTGCCCGCGCGCGCCTCGCCTGCAGCGCGCGTCACCTTTTTATTCGCGCGGGCGCCACAGTTTTCAGCGCGCGAGCCACGTTTTCTCAGCGCGCGCCGCTGCTGTAGTGCCGCGCGCTGGCTCGCGGCCACTTCGCGGCCCCTCCGCGGCTCCTTACGGCCCCTTCGCGCCCCCCCCCTCCGCGGCTCTCCACGGGCTGCTGTCGCTGCCCTGCCGCCCCGTCGCCACTGCCTCAGCAGCAGCTGCCGCCGCACCTGCCGCCCCTGCCGCTTTCGCCACGGCCCTTTGCCGCCGTCGCTAATGCTGTGACGACCGCCGCTGCTGTAGCCGTGGCGGCCGCCACTACTCCTGCCGTGACAGCTGCTGCCGCCGCTGCTTCTTCTACAGCAGCCGTCGCCGCTGCTGTGACAGCCGCCGCTGCTCCTGCCATGACAGCTGCCGCTGCTCCTGTTGTGACAGCCGCAGCCGTTCGTCGCAGCCGCCGCCGCTGACCCTGCTTGAGTACCTCGGCCCTGCCCCATCCTTCGCGGGCTTCTCCAGCCCGCCCCTGGTAAGCGCATCGCCGAGCTGCGCCCCTACTACTGCTGCTTCAGCTTGCTTGCCTCTACTGCTGCTGCTAGCCTGCTCCGCCCGCTGCCATGGCTAGTCCTTCGGTTCATACCTTCGATGCTGAGGGTCGTGCGATAGACTTTGAGGTCTGGCTTGACGACTTGCAGCTGTTCCTGCAGTGTGATAGCAAAGACGATGTCTCGCTGTACGACCTCACGTCTGGTGCCTCCCCCCCCCCTGCTGCTGATGCTGATGCTACTGTTCGTTCGTGCTGGAACACCCGCGATGCTGCGGCCCGCCTTGCTGTGCGTAGTCACCTGCCGTCTGCTGAGCGTGCGCACTTTACTCAGTTTAAGACCGCTAAGACCCTGTTCGATGCTGTCGTTGCGCGCTACTCCTCCCCTGCCTCTGCTGCCCTTAGTCGCCTCATGCTGCCGTACCTTTTCCCTGACCTCGCCGCCTTTGCTACAGTCGCTGACCTCATTACACACCTCCGCACTAGTGACACCCGCTACCGCGCTGCGCTTCCTGCTGAGTTCTGCGCCAAGAACCCCCCCCCCATGTACATCACCCTCTACTACCTAGTCACCCGGCTCCCTGACTCCCTTAGTTCGGTCAGGGATCACTTCATCTCCCTCTGCCCCACCACACTCACCGTTGACCTCCTCGAGGAGCGCCTCCTTGCAGCTGAGAAGAGTATAGTCGCTGTAGGAGCCTCTCGTGGTGACCCTCGTGCCCCTTTCTTTGAGGGGTGCTCCCCCGTTCCCCTCTTACCCTCTGTTGCCTCTGCTTCCGCTGTCGACCTCGTTGGCACCGAGTCGGTCGGCGCTGCTTCTGCCTCTGGTGGGAGGCGCCGCAGCAGCAAGGGCAAGGGGGGCAAGGGTGCTGGAGGAGCTGGCGGGGGTGGTGGTGGTGGCGGAGGCGGCGGGGGGAGTGCGGGTGGAGGTGGGAGTGGGGGCGGAGGGGGGGGCTCTGGTGGCAGCAGTGGAGGCAGAGGCAGCGGCGGCGGCGGTGCCAGCGGCGGCAGTGGGAGTGGAGGAGGTGGCGGTGGCGGCGGTGGCAGCGGCGGCGGTGGCGGCGGTGGCGGCAGTGGTGCTAGTCGGGGTGGCTCCGTGCAGCGGGGAGCCTTCGGTGGTGGCCAGCGTCAGCAGCAGCCGCGCGCTCGTAAGGCCCCGCCACCCCAGCAGCTTCACCAGTGGTACGCTGGGCGTCAGCGGCCTGGGGGTGCTGGTCCCTGTACCTACGTCCTACGCACTGGTGACCGCACTGGTGAGCCGTGTGGCGGCCCGCACACCACCCAGCGCTGCTTCGGCCGCCTGACAGACGCCTGGCGTATCCGGTTCCCTGACGCCACTGAGCTCCCTCGCTGGCATGATCTGCTTAGGTCGGGGGTTCCTATCTTTGATCTTGACTATGATGCTATCCTTGCTGCCATGTATGTTATGTCTACTAGTGATGACGGTGACTGTTACCTGAGTGTTTCGCCCAACCTGTGCGGGGTGGCTGCTTCTCTAGGTGCCAGTGAGTCTGCTGCTCCAGGTGCTAGTGAGTCTGCTGCTCCAGGTGCTAGTGAGTCTGCTCTCTCAGGTACCACGTCTGCTCAGGCGTTGCACACTTTCACCCTTGACTTGGGTGCTTCCCGCTCCTTCTTTCGAGACCGCACCACCCTCACGCCGCTCAGTCGGCCGGTTGCGGTCTCCCTGGCAGACCCCTCTGGGGGCCCTGTCCTTGCCCACTACTCCACTGTCCTACCGTGTCCAGCGGTCCCGTCTGGCTCCCTGTCCGGTCTTTACCTCCCCTCGTTCTCTACGAACCTGGTGGCGGGTGCTGACCTACAGGATGGGGGGGTTGACCAGTTCACTCCTGCGCGTCAGCGGGTGACCCACTGCACGTGTGCTGACACGGGCCGACACTTGGCCACGTTTACCCGTCGGCCGGGGTCGAGCCTGTACACACTGACTACCGAGTCTCCTTCACTTGCTGTCCCTGGTCAGGTAGCCGCGTCGGGTCAGGTGTTTGCTGCGGCGTCTCGGTCTGGTCCTGCGTCAGCCCCCTGCTCGTGTCGCCTCCTGTCCCACGAGACTCTTCTCTGGCACCACCGCCTTGGTCACCCCTCCCTACCTCGTCTCCGAGGCATGGCCTCCCGTGTCCTTGTCTCTGGTCTCCCCCGGTCTCTCCCTCCCCTTCCTCCGGGGCCTGCCCCTACCTGCGTTCCCTGCGTCGAGGGGCGGCAGCGCGCCGCTCCCCACTCCTCCGAGTTTCCTCCGACAGAGGCTCCGCTGCAGACTCTTCACATGGACGTGTGGGGCCCAGCCCGCGTCCGTGGACAGGGTCACGAGCGTTACTTCCTGCTGGTGGTTGACGACTACTCGCGTTACACCACAGTCTTCCCCTTGCGCCGCAAGGGTGATGTTGCTGAGGTGTTGATCGATTGGATCTGCGCTGCTCGTCTCCAGCTTCGAGAGAGTTTCGGCTCGGACTTTCGTGTCCTGCGCCTGCACTCCGACAGAGGTGGAGAGTTTTCCTCCGACCTTCTGCGAGCCTTCTGTCGTGCGAGGGGCATCCGCCAGACGTTCACACTGCCGGCCTCTCCACAGAAAAATGGGATTGCTGAGCGCCGCATTGGCATGGTCATGGACGTCGCTCGTACGTCCATGATCCATGCGGCTGCTCCCCATTTCCTGTGGCCGTTTGCGGTTCAGTACGCGGCGCATCAGATCAACCTTCAGCCCCGGGTCTCCATGCCGGAGACCTCCCCCACTCTGCGGTGGACGGGGAAGGTTGGCGATGCGTCTGCGTTCCGTGTCTGGGGATCTCGGGCTTTTGTCCGAGACTTGTCTGCGGACAAGATGTCCTCCCGTGCTGTTCCCTGCGTCTTCCTTGGCTTCACCTCTGACGCGCCTGGTTGGCAGTTTTACCACCCCACCTCGCGCCGTGTTCTGTCCTCCCAGGACGTCACGTTTGACGAGTCGGTTCCGTACTACCGTCTCTTCCCCTACCGCGCTGCCCCCCTGCCGCCCCCGCCGCTTTTCCTTGCGCCAGGTCCCCCCCCGGTAGACCCCCTCCCCCCTCAGGGTCCTGCTCCTTCAGGTGTGTCTCAGGTAGACCCCCCCCCCTTGGCTGCGCCTCTGGAGGTCACTTTAGACACCTCTGGCCCACCCGAGGGGGGTGACGCTGCTGCTGACGCCCCAACGGCCTCCCCCCGCGCTCCCCGCTTGGAGACCCCTCCGGAGTTCCCTCCACGACCTTCATCACCGCCTCTGCCACCGGTTCCTGTTGACTCTGGTGCTGTTGTGGGAGGTGCTCCTTGGGGTGCGGAGTCTGGGGGTGCTGAGACTGGGGGTGCTGAGCCTGCGTGTGCGGAGTCTGGGGGTGCTGAGACTGGGGGTGCTGAGCCTGTGTGTGCGGAGTCTGGGGGTGCTGGGCCTGCATGTGAGGAGACTAGAGGCCTTGCGCCTGGGGGTGCTGAGCCTGTGTGTGCGGAGTCTGGGGGTGCTGAGTCTGGAGGTGAGACGCTTGAGGGTACTGGGACTGCTTCTGCGCTGTCTCCTTGGCGTGGCCGCCTTCGTTCACGTGTGCCTCTCACTCCACAGCAGCTGCACGACTGGTACGGTCGCCGTCAGGTTCGCGCTGCTGGAGCTCGGGGCTCTGCTTCTGGGGGTACTTCTACTGCTGTTACTGGAGACCCTGGGGCTAGCGGTCCTGGTTCTGGGGGTGCTGCTACTGGAGACTCTGCGGGCGACCCTGAGGCTGATGGTGCCGGTTCTGGGAGTGCTGCTGCTGGTGACGCTGGTACTGGCGGTGCTGGCGCTGGAGGTACCGGTTCTGAGGCTGGAGCCTCTGGCGCTGTTGGAGGTTCTGGCGTTGCTGGAGGCCCTGGAGCTGCTGGAGGTGCTCGCGGTGCTGGAGCTGCCGGTGCTGCTGCGCCGCCTCGCCTGTTCTTCGCTCCGCCGTCTCCGTCGTCTCTGCCGCCGCCTGACTCTGTTCTTCGTCAGGTTCTTACTCTCCCGTCGTCCTCTGGTGTTCTGTTACCGCCTGGCTCGCTGCTGCCTGCTCCTTCGCCCTACACTGTGCAGACTGGTAGTCTTGCTGAGCCTCGTGAGCCTGCGTCGCGTCCTGTCTCGCCTGTTCGTTCTGGTCGTCCCGGTCGTCGTGGTTCTCGTCCGCGTCCGCCGTCTGTCCCTAGCACACACCTTGTTGTCCGTCGCCCTCCCTCTGCTCTGCGGCCTGCTCCTCTGCCGTCCCCTCCTGCGTTCTCGCTGCCTGCCGTTCTGGACCCTGCGTCTGACCGGTTTCGTGTAGAGCACCCTACGGTCACACGTCTGCTAGCCACTGTTGTCACTGACCCGTCGTTTGAGTCTGCTGCTGCGTCTGCCCTAGTTGCTGAGCTTGTTGACTTTGCTGCTGCCTGTCGTCTTGACTACGCTGCCAGTCTAGTTGCTGAGTCTGACTCTGTCTGTCCTCCGTCCGTCGGGGGTGAGTGTGCTCTTGGCACGGACGTCCTTGAGGACAGGCATGAGGACCTTGAGTGTCTTGCAGCCGCTGCGCCTCATCTCGTGACCATGCTGCTTGCCCCTGAGGGAGACCCGGATGCACTAGACATCCCTACCCCGCGCTCTTACGCTGAGGCGATCGCGGGCCCCTACTCCTCTCAGTGGCAGGCAGCCATGGACGCAGAGATGGCATCCTGGAAGTCCACAGGCACCTACGTCGACGACGTTCCCCCTCCTGGGGCGAACATCGTCAGTGGCATGTGGATTTTCAGGGTGAAGCGGCCGCCGGGTTCTCCGCCTGTCTTCAAGGCTTGTTACGTTGCTCGAGGCTTCAGTCAGCGAGAGAGAGTTGACTTCTTCCAAACCTTCTCCCCCACCCCGAAGATGACCACTCTTCGGGTACTGCTGCACGTTGCCGCTCAGCGTGACTACGAGCTTCACTCACTTGACTTCAGCACAGCTTTCTTGCAGGGCAGCCTGCACGAGGAGATCTGGCTGCGCCGCCCTCCTGGCTTCACTAGGTCGTTCCCTCCTGGTACCCAGTGAAGCCTCCGGCGGCCGGTCTACGGTCTCCGCTAGGCACCACGTGAGTGGCACGACACACTGAGGACGACACTTGCGGCACTTGGGTTTGCTCCGTCTACTACGGACCCGTCGCTGTTTCTGCGCACCGACACCTCGCTGCCGCCGTTCTACATCCTCGTGTACATCGACGACTTGGTCTTTGCTACTGCTGACACTGAGGCTCTCGCCTTGGTGAAGTCGGAGCTGCAGAAGAGACACACGTGCACAGACCTGGGTGAGCTGCGCAGTTACCTTGGCTTGCAGATCACCCGGGACAGAGCACGCCGCACCATCACACTGACTCAGTCACACATGGTGCAGCAGGTCCTTCAGCGTTTCGGCTTCACCTGGTCCTCAGCACAGGCCACTCCTCTGGCGACAGGTCACTCGCTCTCAGCTCCACCTTCGGACGAGTCCGTAGAGCCGAGTGGTCCTTACCCAGAGCTAGTGGGCTGCCTCATGTACCTGATGACCTGCACTCGTCCTGACCTTGCGTACCCTCTTGGCCTTCTGGCTTGCTACGTGGCTCCTGGTCGGCACCGAAAGGTGCACTGGGATGCTGCGAAGAGGGTACTGCGCTACTTGTGCAGTACATCAGGCATGGGGCTCGTGCTTGGAGGACGGCGAGAGGTGGTCCTCACTGGGCACTCAGACGCTTCTTGGGTTGACGACCAGGCTACGCAGCGGTCGTCACAGGGTTACACTTTCAGCCTTGGCTCTGGTTCTGTTTCTTGGCGTTCTACTCGCTCGTCTTCAGTTCTCAGCTCCAGTTGTGAGGCTGAGATCTACGCCACTGCCATGGCTGCACAGGAGTTGCGTTGGCTCACCTACCTGCTGACCGACCTCGGAGAGCGGCCTCGTTCTCCTCCAGTGCTGTACGTCGACAACAAGGCTGCCATTGCCTTGTGTGAGGAGCACAGACTGGAGCACAGAACGAAGCACATTGCTCTGCGTTACTTCCTGGCTCGAGAGTTGCAGCAGCGAGGCCAGCTTCGTCTCCGTCACGTGGACACTCGGGCCAACACCGCTGATATATTCACCAAGGCACTTCCGTCTGGTGATCATCAGCGCTTTTGTACTTTGTTGGGCCTTGTGCCGACGTTTCCACACTTGCTGTAGCCTTTGTTTGTACTGTGATCTATATATATACCTGCATGTTGGCTCTTGCTAGCTAGAGATCACTGTACTGTTCTTGTTGCTTATATACCTCTGCATGTGGACTGGCCCTGTGGCCGTTTGCTTGTGCTCAGTGGGAGTGGTGACGTTGTGATCCACCCTGAGCTGTGTTTTGTCTCTTGACTGGTCTTGTGACCGTTGCTTGCTCTGGCTATCCCCCATTTCGCCTATGGGGGTGTGTCAAAACATATGTATATCATTGTCTAGGCTATATTGGGGATAGCCTTAGGGGGTACAGAAATTTGCTCGACACTCTAGTCTTGTACCCAAGCCTTGACCTAATCCCACTCATTCTTGCCTTACTATCTTAACACCTGTCGCCGGAGGAGACGGCGGAGAGGGAAGGAGAGGTGACGGCGGGGAGCGGGGAGAGGCGACGGCGGGGAGGAGGGAGAGGCGACGGCGGGAAGGAGCGAGAGGCGACGGCGGGGAGGAGCGAGAGGCGACGGCGGAAAGGAGGGAGAGGCGACGGTGGGGAGGAGGAGAGGCTGTCAGAATGTTATTATTGTCTAGCCTGCAGTGGGGTACTCTATAGCGAGTATAACCCAACTAGTGTTTCCTATATGTATGCCAACTGCTGCTAGTGCAATTCTCTCCTTTCTTCATTTTTGTTTCTTCCTAGAATCTTGATATGCTATCAGAGCAGGTCGACCCCCTTGGGTCGATCCTGTGGGTGAGCCTGCTTCGCCAGTCGCCTGTGGGTCCGTTGCTCCTGTGTGTGCTCGTCGTAGCCGCGGAGCCAGATACTCCCGTAGTCCGGTGCCCTCGTGCGCTCGGTAGCCACTGTGCGCGCCGCTCCTGTTGCCCGTGTGTCTGCAGCTTCAGTCGGCGCCTTTCATCTTCTCGCCCTCACAGTCTCTCCTCCTCCTCACTTGCCCTCTGTGATCACCTCTAGCTTTGCTTATAATTGTGAACTATTACTATGTCTGCTCATTGTGCTGATTACACCCCACTTTGGCTATGGGGGTGTGTCAGAATGTTATTATTGTCTAGCCTGCAGTGGGGTACTCTATAGCGAGTACAACCCAAACTAGGGTTTCCTATATGTATGCCAACTGCTGCTAGTGCGATTCTCTCCTTTCTTCATTCTTGTTTCTTCCTAGAATCTTGATAGAGGCGACGGTGGGGAAGAGAGAGGCGACGGCGGGGAGGAGGAGATGCGACGGCAGGGAGGAGGAGATGCGACGGCGGGGAGGAGGAGAGGCGATGGCGGGGAGGAGGGAGGCGACGGCGGGGAGGAGGGAGAGGCGACGGCGGGGAGGAGGGAGAGGCGACGGCGGGGAGGAGGAGATGCGACGGCGGGGAGGAGGATAGACGACGGCAGGGAGGAGATGCGACGAGGAGGAGGAGGGTGTCAGAGGTCCACTGGAGATCCCCGATGATCCTAGGGAAGGGTTACAGGCACGTCGGCCTGGGGGGTTATGGGCGCACTCACCTGCTACACAAACAAGCCCTTTTATCCCAGTGGTTAGTGGCTGGGATTCTGACATGGTATCAGAGCGAAGGTCTCGGGTTCGATTCCCGGTGTGTGCACTTCGGGCATCCCAGTGCGGGGGGGTGTCAGAGGTCCACTGGAGATCCCCGATGATCCTAGGGAAGGGTTACAGGCACGTCGGCCTGGGGGGTTATGGGCGCACTCACCCGCTACTTAAACAAGCCCTTTTATCCCAGTGGTTAGTGGCTGGGATTCTGACAGAGGGAGGTGACGGCGGAGAGGTAAGGGAGAGGAGATGACGGGGTGGATGGGACGGAGTGATTGTGAGGTGGGTTGGAGAGGTGTCAGCGTGTAGTGAGGGAGAGGATACGGCTGGATGGGAGCGAGAGGGTGGGGGGTAGGGGAGGAAAAGGAGTAGGAGCAGGGCAGGTTCTTGTCAAGAAGATTCAAGAACAAGAACCAAGAAAAGACGGCGCCGAATTCGAGCTGTGAAAGAGACAGATGCCAGCGCAGAACGAGAAAATTTCTGCCAGCGCAGAACAAGAAAATTTCTGCCAGCAGAGCGAGAAATTTTATGCCAGCGCAGGACGAGGGCACTCAGCGATGCCAAACGCCCAACCCGCTATAAGAACCTGAAAGAACAATGGAGTTAAGTTATTGGTGATAACAATTCATGTTTGTAAAATTCACAAAAAGAGCATAAATGTCCAAATTGTTCCACAATCAATTAACAACTATGAGAGAAGCAACATCTATAGAACATTTTGCTTCATAATAAGGAACTATCGAGCCTGACCTGTTTTAAGTAAAAATGAAGAACTTAATGAATTGCTTCTGTAAGCAAAGTATAATTATAATATATGTACTCTATCATAATATTTCTAACATAATGTTTCCATACAAGGGATACAACTCTACGCAACCCTTCCGACGTAAACGTCGAGTCTTGTTAATCTGTATCAGCTTGATAGCTTACACGGTAAATGACTTCCATAATGATAGAAACCCGTTCACATTGTTATCCAAACCAATGGTTCCACGATTACAATGCACAGCCCGATATCCTTGATTACAAAAAAAAAGAATTATAAATGTTTTTACATGTTGCTAGTTCTTTCTTCATCAGACAGGCATGTCTGCCTCTGCTGCTGGCTGGGTGGAATCAAGGTTAGGCTGTGAAGGGAGGGAAGAAGAAGACTGAAGCGGGAGGGGAAACGAGGGGAGAGGAGGGAAGAAGACGACAAGAGAGGGAGGGGAAACGAGGGTAAAGAGGGAAGGGATGATGGGATGGGAACGAGAGTGGGATGATGGGATGGGAAAGAGGGAGTGGGATGATGGGAAGGAATGAAGGAAGGGGGTGATCGAATGGGGTGATGGAATGGGAAAGAGGGAAGGGGATGATGTGAGGGGAAAGAGGGAAGGGGGTGAAGGGATGGGAAAGACGGAGAGGGGTTACGGGATGGGAAAGAGGGAAGCGCAACACCCTCACCCGCCCAGCATCCCCCTGTCCAGCATACCAACCGCCCAGCATCCCACCCGCCCAGCATCCCACCCGCGCAGTACCCCACCAGCGCAGCACCCCACCAGCGCAGTACCCCACCAGCGCAGCACCCACCCGCGCAGTACCCAACCAGCGCAGCACCCCACCCGCGCAGCACCCACCCGCGCAGCACCCCACCGCGCAGCACCCCGCCCGCGCAGCACCCCACCGGCGCAGGACCCCATCCGCGCAGCACCCCACCCGCGCAGCACCCCATCCGCGCAGCATTCCACCCCCGCAGCATCCCGAGCCGTGCAAGCAGACTCGGAGCCTACCTGCGAATCTTCCTCGCGTGTCACTTTTTCGCCTTTCCCGCCTTTTTTGACGCGCGAGCTTTCAGCATCTCCTGGATCGTCGACGTGGACTCCGCCGGCCGCGGCTCGAGCCACGTCAGAGGGTGCCGGCGGAAAACGGGCCAATCGGGAACCACCACGAGGCACGCGAGCAACGTGGCGCCTAAATGAATATACATCATGAGAGAGAAAGAGGAGTAGAGGAATCCGGCACCGAAAGCTATGCCGGCACCGGCGAGGAGAATAATCTGCATCAGATACTCCGCGAGGCGCTGGCCCTGCCAATCCATGGCGACTGTGGCGATGCGGATTGCGACGATGCGGACTACGGCGATGTGGATTGCGCTAATGTGATCACTACGCGGGTTCGGCAGGTGCGACGATGCGGATTGCGCGGTGATGGCAAAGGCGAAATCTCCGAAGATTTCGCGATACCCTAAGCACAGCTTGGGTTGCAGTGGCGGGATCGAGTCAGATTTGCTTAGACACGGACTAAAACTGAAGTTCTCCTGGTATGCGAAACACGCGGATTGGTGGC